ACTGTGTTAAACTAAAAAATAAGTGAACCCTGTATGTTTCGTAGAGCGTGTTTAGATCAGCATCATTCACTTGAGGCAGAACCGGGGAAGAACTAGAAGTTACAGTAGTTTGTTATTATTTCCCCCATGAGGGTAAAATCAAGTACTCATTGTGTATGAATGAAAAGAAATTATGTTATTGAAAGAAACATGTTTTGTTTTGATTTACTTGGTTGGATGCTATTATTTAAAAAGGAAAATGGAGGACAATGGCTGACACAGATGTTAGAAATCACAAAACAGTATAAAGAAATCAAACTTAAACTATAATGAGGCAAACCAAATATCAATGGGCTGTGAGGCCTGGTTAGGGATGACAGACTAGGCAGCAGTTATGGACTATGAAGAAGCCTGTTCCTGCAATTAGAATTGATGACAACATACAAGATATAGGGAAATTTGAACATTAATCAATCAATAACTATTCATCATCATTATTACTATTATTATTAAATCATAATTATGACAAGCTTCTCTTACCAGTAGGTACTATTTTACAAGGCTATGTTGCTATTGTTAAACAATTTAAATTAAACTATAATAATAATAATAGTAATAATAATAATAATAATAATAAAATAATGTAAAAGTTTATGAAAATGCTATAAAGTATAACACAGACAAAAGGAAAATAAAAAAAAAACAATGAAGCAGAAACCCGGCATCAAACCATCAATCAACCAAACAGTTAATCAATCAATTAGTTAATCAATCAATTAGTCAATCATTAAAATGAAACTTATACTAATGCACTATTAAACAAAGTTTATATCTGAACTACTGCCAATGAGAGTCTCCTGTGTCTATATCACTATGCTAAACATTCTCTTTAGCTAAGCACAATTTTTAAGAATGCCAAGATACTTTACGTCTGGTAGATGGATAAATATCAGAGGGTGAACAGTAATGAGGGATGCAGACCTCTATCGCGTAGCAGGCTGTTTGCTATACAATCGGTTTTGTGAGCATACGAACACACTTACACACAGTAGGTGGTATCATGAATGGATGGGAGTCTCAAAATTGGGTTTAGGACCTCTTTTTTTTCCAATAAATTCATGTTTATCAGGGATAATCCATCCAGCTGAGAATATGAGTTGGAAGTACAGATGGAAGTGGGTGTACAGCCTTTTTTTCTTTTGGAAGTATAATTGCGTAAAAAATGTTTCTATATTATTATTATTATTATATTGATATTAGTCTTTGCACACTTTTTTTTTATCATCTTTTAATCATATTATAATACTTCATATATAATATATGTTCAATATGTTTTCATTTGTTTTTTGTTAATAATCACACTATTTTGTAACACATATTTGTTATCATAGTTCATTCTGCTTCTATCAAATATAATATATATTTTTTTAAATTTTGAGAATTAATGTTTTTTTTAGTATATTTTTGTTTTTTAAAACTACTGTACATTGTGATTTTACACATTTTAAGCTCTTATTCATTTGTATAAAAACAGATCTCATACTTTTCTTCTATACATTTGAAACATTTCTTTTATACAAAATAAAAATCCTGACCTAAACAATTAGATTAGGACTAAAGTTTGAGTAACTTCAGAATTACATTTAAATATGTTTAGCTCACTTATTGTAATTCTTTGCAGACTTAATTAAATAACTAGTAATCAATCTAAAAATTTTCATAGTAAAAATGGAAGTTATTTCTTATTTCATAATTGAAATTTTGAAGCATTTTTCCAGATTTTATAATACATACATAAAGGCTTGGAAAGTCATACATAGTTTATTTTATAATGCTTATGAATATTCTACATTAAAACGGTGCTTAATTTAATATGTGACATGGTTTGCATCACAATAGGTCTGTATTAATTATATTTGTCATCCATTGTCTATGTTAAGCAAGATGAATGCAGGTCACAAACTTTTATATAGTGGATTAAACTCACTTTTCTGTCTTTTCTGCCCACTCATTCAGTTTATTATATTTAGTAGAATTTCATTTTTATCGTCAATAAAGAAAAACAAAAAAAGGATAACATGCCAAGAAATCGAAATCAGTGAAGATAAAGATATAAAATTTATTACAATACGACTGTAATATTTAAATAAAATTATTGTAACTAAATGATGCACACTCACAATATAATTTATTCAATTTAAATTGGTGACAATCAAAGTAAATTGTATGCTTTTTCTATAAACAGTCACCCAATAAGGTGTTTCGTGTAACAGTATTTGTACTTTTAGGCTACACCATGAAGGTGCACTCAAAGAATGTGAACTCAGGGTCCAAGAAGAAACATCCCAAAACCTACCCCCTTAAGACCAAATTCTGGAACTGCAACTGTTCCTAACCAAAATCCAATTTCCATGCACTTTTCAGAACTTTCATATCAAAATGTCCTTAATTGTATTTTGCATATCCACACAATGACGTTATTTAGATTGTGATTACCACAAACAACCTTGACATTATTAAATACTGTATGCATTTCTACAGTTTATAATAAAGTACAGTGTCGCCTCCAAAACATCTAAAAATCTGAACTTCTTACAACCAAACATTAACATTAGCACATATGCTTATACATTTTTTTAAAACATCTGTTGCTCTTGTCTATTTGCATAATGTTTAATCTATGGTTAATCTTTAGTGTATGTTACTTTCAGCACCTGTTCAATATCCCTGCTAATGTAGGTTATATTAACTTACTAGAATAGCTAAAACCTATTAATTGATAAAAAAAAAAACACGATATTAATTATTCACTATGAAATCAATGATAAATACACAATTTGTGGTATTTAACTATATATCGTTGCTTTGGGTGACTGACTTCACTAATCCTGGATCTATTTAATAAGCCTGGTCGATTCTGTGATTAAAGTTTTATAGAGCATTTTTAAATCTTCCCAAAAGTAAATATCATCAAATGTAAAATACTCTGCTATAAATTATATACATTTTACTTATATTTTTATATATTATTTTGATATCTTGAGCATCAAATAGCTCTTACCACAATTTTAAAACCCATTCAATATAAATAAACATATCTTGTATTTTGTAATATTATGCTCTGGTTGAACATTATGCAGCAAAGAAGCTCTTTGAAAAAATAAGCACCCACCAGCTGCAGAGATTTTATATATGACCTATGGCAAAAAACAGTATATATTTAGGCTTAATACCTGGATGTTTCTTTCAAACGAAATTCAAAATGTCAACTAAATGCAGTACACTGTGTAGCGGCGTCACAGAATTTGTGGGGCCCTGGCATTGACTGCTGTTTGGGGCCCCTAATAAATGAGTGAGGCAAGCACTAAGTTTGCGAGCGGAGCGAGCAAACAGACGCTGGGGCCAGGGGGATGCATGGGGCCCCGGTTGGAGTCCAGGGGTGAAGGCCCCTGATGGAGGTCCAAGGGGGCTTTCGCGCTCAGAGCTTTTCATTTATGAACTGTTAACTTAGTTAACAGAAAACAAAAAGTAGTCCATGACTGATTAAATATTTCAGACAATTATCTTATGACAAAACCAACATAGATTGGACCTACATAGGTCAAATTTCGTAACTGGTATAGGCCTACAGTAGGCCTATGTACTCTATATAGGGATAAATAGGGATAAATAAATACAGAGAATATTTTAGTGAGAAACAAAACATGTTTATTTTTCCCGTACTGTGTTCTTGTTTTTGTTCTTTTTTTATGCTGTAGAATTTTAATATTGTTATTGTTTAACTGTTTGTGTACTGTTTTACTGTATGAAATTGTATTTTAACATGGCCCGAGGGAAGAACGGCCATTAGCTGAATCTGGGACACACGTGTATAGATAAAGTTTATTATTATTGTTATTATTATTATTATTATTATTATTATTATTTTCATAACATATATACATGTGCAAAGCAGATTGATCACAAAATCAGAAACAAATGTCAAACATCAGAACCCAGCTTTTGTTAGGCGTATTCGACAGGTCCTTTTCCGAGGAGCTTGGAGTGTGCTCATTAAGCTCGTTAAAAAACAGCGAGGAGTTTGAGCCACTCTTGTGAGGAGTTTGTGCTGCTCATGTGACCAGTTCAAAACAGACCAGTTAAATACGCCTATTGTTTAAAACTGTAAGTCCCATTGAATGAAAATAGGTTATTATGCCCCCCATCAGCACCCGAGCGTGACACCACTGAAACTGTGATAAGTTCTAATCTACAAAATGAAAATATAACAAGCTACAGTATATTGAAACTCATTGATGAAGTTGGATATTTTTGGTGTTTCATCACAGAATTGCATAATTGGTCAAAATAACATGGGTGTATAGGATTAAGAGGGCAGGGGGGGGGGGAATTGGTTTCACTAAGTGGGTGTTGAAATACAAAAAATGGCCATTCATTTTTCATTGGAATTGGGATTTATTTCCACATTCTCAGTTTCGCACCCCTAAATGCGAAAACTAGCCCAATGATCCCTGATATAATTAAGACCCATACAAACATAATCCACACCAAATTCCTTGATACAAATAACAGATAAATTAAAAATGCTGAAGTTACAAATTCATATCATTATGATTATTATCATTATTAACCTAGGCCTGGGCTAGGCCTCTGGCTTAGGCCTATTATTTATTAATATTTTAGTATAGGCCCCTAGGCCTACCTATTTTTTATCAACTTTCAATATTCTCTTTAATGTTTTTTTTTATTAAGTTTGACATTTTTGTTGAATCACTCCTGAAAAACTCATTAAAAATTTCCATTAAATATTTTCTAGCCTAATAATTATATTTTTAGAAGATAAAAAGACACGATACGAAGACACGATTTTGCTAGCTACCTAGCAAAAAAGTACCGTAGGTAGGCTTCAAGTTAAGAGCTTTGTGGTAGTATGCTGGTGAGGCCTAAATAGGGCCTACCGTACTACTCTAGCGCCTAAATTAAATATACACTTTTAAAAAAATATCACAAATCATACATACCTTTAAAAAGCAATGTATACTTATTAATAAGATATACCGTCTTTGATATGGAAGCTAAAGAACAGCAGGATAAGTTTAGACCACATTCAACCACGCACACACAAACGCATCCAGGCACCGACAACAGAAGTGCGTAAACAAATGAAAGTTTTGACTTTTATAAGCAACTAAATATTGACGCATGATGGCGCTATTATAATAACTTTTGGGGAGGCGCGTGATCCAAACCAATAATTTTCCAACTTGGTAGTAAAAATCTCTACAGTATATTGTATTTCTTTGCATACCGATGCAAGCTGTGTAGCAGTCTCATTATTCTTTGTACCCTTACTGTCTATCGATTATTCCTTGTCTTTTTTTGGTTTGTTATGCCAGTATCCGCAATACATGTGATCCTGGCCCGGTAGCAGTATTATATTCAAGTTTTATTTCATATTATTATATAACACAGTGTTTGTGTAACGCACCACTTTTCCAAAGACCCACATAACAATCTTCTACCTCTTAACAACACAAAGTTAACCCGGCTAATTGGAGACCAACCCAAACTTTCCTAAAGGTGGTGTCGAATTCAAGGATCGGAGAGCGGACTGTAGTAGAATAGTAGCGGATTTTCCTCGATTTTCTATTGTTCTGCTACATTTTTAATTCGAAATACTATCTAATGACAGCCGTCGGAACCGCACCGACCGCACCGGGTTTTCTCAATTGCAAGTCTCCCTCCATACCACCAATTAAAAATCCCTTTTGGAACCAGGGTTTTAGTGGTTTTTAGCACCTTTGGTCTCTAATTTGAATCCATATAATTAAAGACAGTGGCTTTATAAAAGCAGGCATACATCTTTAAATATCTCTATTTAGAGGGAAATTAAGAAAAGATATAGTAAAATGATTGTTAGAATGGATGTAAGCCTACAGTTACTGTATGCTGTTATTATTATTTAATGCTTAAACTATTCACACATCAAGTCCTAGTGTGCCCCTACCTAACCATTACAATATTACTAACAGCACAGTCCATTCAATATAGAGCACTGATACACAAAACATCATCTTAAGTATGTCTATCATCATATTTTTTTTTAATGCATTAAAATCGTTATAGGCCTATATTTTTATATATCAGAAATAATGTATTTATTGAATGAAGGAAACATTTTTAGTTGGGTCTGCCAAAACCATGATATTATACATTACGGTTGAATTTTTCTTCCAAGTGTTTTAGGATGATTACTGCATCCCACACGAAACTTGCGCTCCATTTAATGAGAGAAAAACAATTTCAATTCAATGTCCTACTAAAACCATTGGCATTCAATACGTAGCATTGTACACAGAACGTAGGCTACTGATGTATGTTTATGTCTGTAGTGTGTAAAAAGACTAAAACCACTATACATAGTAGAAATTTTTAGTTTGGTCTGCCAAAACCATGGTCTTTTGGTGTCTAATAGAATCCCTATAATTAAAGACCGGCACTCAACAAGGGTCCCAATTTGGAAGAATCCACATCCGGGAGATCTGTTTAAATGAGTTTTCTTATGACATTTTTGCTGTGCATGGTGACAACCAATAATGATTGGCATTAATGGATATTACAGTATAAAAACTTGATAAAGCATGCAAATGTCATCATGAAATTGTGTAGATCGTTTATTTCGGGAGATTCGTGCTTGCTCGCAGGCCAGAATGTGGGAGTCCTTCCAGCCAGTTTCCAGGAGACTCCATTCCAGGACTCTACGGGAGACTTGGAACTCATGGGTACTAAATGTGGTATTTAGATTTATTTTAGTACTTATTGTAATGAATATACACCACTATATTATGTGGATTTAATGTTCGTATCTTTTTAATGTTGTATAGACCTATATATATTTTTTAATCCATCATGAGCTTGTTTTGTATTGTACATTACAACTTTATTGACAATCCTTAACTTTAATATTTAAGATTGATTTTGAAAATGTTTAGAGGTATAATATAACAAATAACTATTATAAAATTTTGGCAAATGTGTAATGGTCAAGCTAGCACTGATTAGGCCTATTCCAATTAAAATTTAAACACTTAAATTAAAAGTGAAGATATTATTTTTTTAAAATTATGCATATATGTGCTATTTCCCGGCTGGGGAGCCATTTTTTTCAACCATGGTGAAAAAAAAATGTGAAAAAAAATGTGTTACACCCCACCACCCACCCACACTTATCAAAATGGCCGGACCACTTGCAAAATGCTTCCGACGGCTATGATTATGACAAATTCATCCATATTTATATTTGTACAGAACAACAAATTGATTAAGAAGATTTGATTGATAAAACATTTTATTATTGTTTCTCTTGTTTATTAGATATTTAGAAGTTATCTTTTATAGAATGTGTATTTTTTTTTACAGATCCTCGATGCTAATGTCTGTGGCTTACGAGAAGACTGCATTAATATTTAAATTACATGGAATAGAAATTCCGAGAAAATAGGTCTAAAAGATACTAAATGCAATGGAAACGTTTGCTATCTGGTTGTTAGATTCTCTGCCTCAGGTACTCGATTTTGTGGAAATCTTACCTTTTACAATAGTTGTATTTTACTAGAAAACTATGACCAAGAAAGAAATGGATGGTGGAGTGCATTAAGTAAAACAGATGAAGGGACCTAGAGGCGATAGCGGATTGTAAAGGATTGAGAATGATAGTTAAACCATGGGAATGATGGTTAAACGTTATCAATTTTCAATGAATACTGTATTTGGCAACGTTTTTAACGGTGTTTTATAAACGTTTGTTTATTACAAACGTTGTTATATCATTGATATTAAGTGTTTTCACAACATACAGTATTCCAAAAAGTGATGTGAACCTTATAATAACTTGTTTTTCTACTACATGGTTGAAACATAGTTCTTTTGATGAAATGTCTGAAATGTCTTCTCAGACTTTTAAGATGACTCTTCTAACCATATGTAAACAATGAGAACTACATAAAAAATAGCAAATCAGCCACTGAACTTTGTTATATATTGCTTTAATGATTTTAACCTTGTCACAAAAAAGTACATTGTATTAAAGTTTCATACAAAGTATTGTATATCAATAAATCTATTGTTATAATACAGATTAGATTACTACTGTATATACAAATCCACTGCAATTTGTATGCCACATCAAAAAGAAATATTATTAACTTATGTTTTGTCTATTTAAATATTAATACAGAAATCACAATACATTGTGTATTACAATATCTATCTTTCAGTGAAGCAGGACACTCACTGAGCCCAGTCATCGGCCAATGTGGATTCTATGGAGGACGTAACGCAATGACACATGAGCAATGGATTGTTTTTAATTAAGATCCCTTCAGACTGCTACCGGAAATCAGCAGACGCTGTTGCATCATTTAATGAAGGTCGCAGGGAGTGGAGTTGGAATCATCATTAGAAGGGCGTACGACGTTGTACGATGCAGCAAGTGCCCGGCTTAATAGTCGTTAAACACCATCTGTTTGGCACAGTGGGAAACGGTTTGGTTTCCCAGCCTTGAGGTCATGGTTTCAATGCCTAAATGTGCATTTCGCTTGTGTCCTTGAGCAAGGCACACTATCTGCATTGCTTCTCTCCACCCAGGAGTATAAATGGGTACCTCGTGGAGTTGCCTGCTCCTGCACTGATTACCAACAGCAACACTTAAAACATGTGGACCCAATGACCAGGGAAAAGAACTGCACTTAAGAGGTGCATTATACCCATACCAGTACCAGATTGGAAAACAAAAGTTGAGCATTTTGTTGGAAGCGGTTGGCGAAAGGGTTGCAGCCTGATACAGATACAATTATAGGATGCTAAGGATTAAAGGAATTTATTATAATCGTTATATTATATTACATTACAGTGTATACCTACAAAATACAAGGCGATCAGGAATATTTACAATTATTGCATCAATAATACAATTTATACACCAATCATCTGGAAAATGCTTAAGGTAACTTTTGAGGCATTGACTGGGAAAGCTGCGAAGCTGGAATATAGAAGATCCTGTCTACTGAACAAGTTGGCTGTCAAATTCAGTGGATTCTGTTGAAAAATTGAAATAATTTGTTTTCAGGAAACATCAAAATACTGGCAAAAAAGTATTATAATATTGCTTGGTGTACAATTAGCATATTTTAGCTAATTTTAAAAATGTTTATCATTGATCAAAACTGTATTTTATTATGTTTAGTGCAAAATTAGGAATAGTATTCAAATTTAATATATCTTACCCTGAGAGCGATCTTTGCGTGGTCTGATGACACCATCCCGTGAGGGCGGTCTTGCAGAAACTAACCGAACTCCAGGACTGACTGAAATGTTACCATGAATACGACATTGTTCATCATAAACATGAGCAGTCAAAATATGTGCTATGCATTAAGGAAAACATAAAATTTACATATATACTTAAAAATTACAATTGTGTAGAAGTAAAGTAGTAGTTTTTTTTTTGTATTAGCTATAATGCAAATTTTTGTCAAATGTTATTACATATAAAAGTAGCTGAAAGTTTGGTTTCACAATATAAAAAAAAATATAACAATACAAAAAAAAAGTTACAAGATGAAACAATAAAAATAATCAACATTTATAAGTTCTGCCAAACCAACCTTGTAATAGATATGCCTAAAATGGATTTAAAACTTTTAGAATTAAATAGTTGTTCACAATATAAAAAAAATATGATTATGATTTATGTCAGTGATCCAACAATTTTTTTATGGTGTGAGTTTTCCTGAATATGATTCATTTGATATTAAAAATTAAAGTACAAAACTAAGACTTTGAAAGGATATCTGCTGTTACTGGTAGGAAGAGCGTGTCAACCTCTGTTGAAATCTCCACATGATGACCTATAGATCCTTGACCGCTACCACCTTTGACCCCTACAGCTATGGCATACAGTTCCAATTGTAATGTTACATTCATTCCAGCAGCAACCTTTAAAATAAGAGAAAAAATTAAATCCAGGGCACAAAGTTTAATTGATAACAATACTTAGTAGAAACAAAATACGGACTCTAAATTAGCAGGAGGTTATTTCCCCCTGAGAACTTTATTTCTCGCAGAAATGCAGGTGACCATGCTGATTTCTGGGGGAATCCCATGACCTGTGGGAAACTTAGGACCCCTGCTAATCACATCGCAATCAACATTTTTCAACCTGGGAACATAGGAATAGTGGATGGTCGCCAAAAACAATATGTGACCAGTTCTGGCTAAACCCTCCATTTGTCACAATTTCCAATTTCACACAAGCACCCAAAACATTTGAGAATGAGAATTTTAAACATTTTCAGGTTTTTGCATTTTATAAAAGGAGATATTATTGAAAAACATTTCTGCAAAATATGAATCACTAAACTGAGACTAAAAAGTACATTAAAATTATTTTGAATATACAAATCTTAATAATAAACTACTGATTTTGGAATCTTTGGAAGCTGTTTTCTTAAAACCTACATGGCTGATATCCAAAGAAAAAAATATTCATAACTTTGCTAATACTCAACCAATTTCCATCAAATAAACACTGTTTTAAAGATGAATTCATGCAGAACATAAAAATACCACAAACCCAATTTTGATAATATATGATCCTGACCTGGGACCTTTGAGAAAGAAATACTGTGCTGGAAACTCATGGGTGTGTTATAACATCATCATGCCCATATATGGGTGTGATATGACATCATCATGCTCATACATGAGTGTGTTATGACATTATCATGCCCATATATGGGTGTGATATGACATCATCATGCTCATACATGAGTGTGTTGTGACATTATCATGCCCATATATGGGTGTGATATGACATCATCATGTTCATACATGAGTGTGTTATGACATTATCATGCCCAAATATGGGTGTGATATGACATTATCATGCCCATATATAGCCAAATCACAGACATTTGTCTCATAAAACTTGTAAGTATTATTTTTATTACTACAACGAAAGAAAAAAAGTGATAAATACCGGTCCTGATTTGTAGATGACATTTAGTCCAGTAGATGGTGGTGGTTGTTTAACCTTAAAGCGACAGCTGTCCACTCCAATATTTTTCAGCAGTACATTAAATGTATAAGTACAACCTTCACGCACTACACCAAAGTTGACTTGTCCCGGGTACAGTTCAAAGCCTCGGATCTTGTTCAGGTCGGAAAAACCTTTCATCTTTGCCCCTGCAATTGAGGAGTTGAAAGTCTTGTTGCGCACAGGGTCTTCCACCTCTTGAAACTATGAAGTGAAAAAAATGAGTTGAATCAAAAATATTCATCCACAATTCTATTGGATACATTATTCTAAGGGCAACCTCTTCTTTTTAGAGTCAAAGCGGTGGTGTCTGATATTTTTGTTTTAAAATGCTCGACCATAGACACTGGTACATGGAATAAAAAAAAAAATTAGCTTGTTCCAGAGTAGTACATGCTCCCTGTCTCCTTATCTTTTCTTCTCTTTTTTTCTTGGGGAGTGCCCCTAGCCCCTGAGGCCCCTTTGGATCCACCCGTCACTAAAACGGAATCACTCATGCATGACCGTCCCACCGGACATCCTACGTTCTCTGAATATGTAGATTTGGCCAAATTGCTTCCTAGAATCCACACGGCATGGAGAACTTAACATGCTTGTGTCCACAGATGAATTTTACAGACATCATTATGTTTTGCGGTTATTATCTATCTCTCTTAACCCAGAAATACGATTACGTGTTACTACACATACTCCCAGGGAAGCGGTGAAATGTCACATTGTATATGATTTACTCAAGAACATTGAGACTATGGTGCAGTGCAAAATCTAACAAATATACAAATAAATTGTGAAAAGTTGTAATACTATACATACCTTTTGGTTAGGTAAGGCACCAGGCTTCTGTCCTAGTATGGAGCTTGGTAAGTTCACCTTGTCTTTCCTGGGTTCACCGTTTACGTCAACGACCAGACTTCTGGTAAATATGAGATTTTCTCTAGCTGAAGGGAAATCCTCTACAATTTCATGTTGATAGTTGTCTGATAGTTTGGTTGTTTCTTGTGTCACGGTGGGTTCTTTAAAAAACAAAAACCAAAGACAAATTTATAAATCTGAGAAAAACAAACTTAAACTTAATATTTATCTTGTTAATGTTTGTGAGGGACTCACAAACCTTAACAAGTTTCCAGTCTAAAGGTCAATGTAAATCAAGGTGAATCAAGAAAACATTTAATAAAACATTAAGCAAAGGAATTATGTATAAATAAATAAGAATGAATAAATGACTTAAAGAAAGAATGAATGAATGAATAAATGAATGAATGAATAAATGAATGAATGAATAAATGAATACATGACTGAATAAGTGAATGAATGAATGAATGAATGAATAAATAAATGAATGAATGAATGAATAACTGAATGAATGACTGAATAAATGAATACATGACTGAATAAATGAATGAAGGAACGAAGGAATGAATGAATGAATGAATGAATGAATGAATGAATGAATGAATGAAGAATGAATGGATATATGAATAATAGGAATAGATGGATGTATGATTGAATGAATGAACAATAAAATATATGAATGCATACATGAATGGATAAACAAATGAACAAATGAATAAATGTATGTATGAATGAATGTAAAAATATGATTGACTTGACTGACTGCCTGAATGAATGAAAGAAAGGATGAATAAATAAATAAATACATAAATGAATATTTGCATAAATAAATGAATGAGTGCACATACGGTTTATATCAACATCTAAGCCTTCCTCATTGTGTTCTGGGATAGTGGAAGCATGGAGGGGGATGGATGTATGGCTAGATGGCGTATCGCTTGTCATATCTTGATTGCCTGCTGGTGTTGGATTGCCTACGGATAGATAGATGAAACAAGTTCAATAAATAAGAGTAAACATAAAAAAGAAATAACTTAGAGCCTACCGTCCGTTTAAGAAAGATGTCATTACTGAGAAAATTATTGGAATTTACACCCAAGATTGTTAAAATTATGTAAAATTATTAACAATAGTCAATTTGGTCACAATTTACTGAAGACATTTTTCAAGGGACAGAATGTAAGACAAATAATAATCTTAATCAACTCTACAATCTGTGACTTGTTAAAATTAATTGCTGATGTATTCTTAAATTGAATCAAAATTGTGTTTAACAGCAATTCTTTGGGGAAAATCCTCTTGACATCAGACTATAATCAGTGACAGATAAGTGGTTACTCCACAATATGTGTTAAGGAGCTGATAACAGTTCAAACCTTACGTACGTTCTATGACAATCATCAATTAAAATTCTTTAATGCAATGTGTTAGCAAGCGATAACGAAAGTTAATAACAAACAGAATGCTTCCAGAAAACTTATGACTGTTTGTCTGCGTTGAATTAAAATTTCTATGTCAATGAAAATATGGGAACACTCCATTAGATGATTTTTGTCTGTAACATCCCCAAAGGAGGAATTCTTCTATACTCAGCTTTAGATACTTACCAGGTCTGACAAGTCCTTGAGTTTGTGATGCGTGTGCGGGAGTTGGGTTAGTTGGCCTCAATGGCGTGGGTGTCCCTTGTCCGGTAGCATGACCTGGGGTTGGGTTTGTCGGCCTAACATCTGATGGACTAGATACAACTACATTGGTAACTAGAAGAAAAGAAATGGTTTAATAAGAAAGTTGATTAATCTTAACATAAGTTTAAATTCACCAATTATAACATAAAACATTATTCGTTACAACTAATGGAATAAACTCCTATAAAGAAAAATACTATCTAGCTTATGGCATCAAGATCTTAAAGAAGTTTTACCTTGAGTGCTCGGGGATGGCGAGCTGTCTGTCTGAGCTGTTGCAGCTGCCTTCAGGGAAGTTGCTGCTGACACACCATCAGAGACGTTGATACTGACTGATAAAATGAGTGCACATTAATTGACTTAATTACCTTAATATACAGTACATACTCTTTCACTCTCCAAATAATGTTATTCATGTCATTCAACTTTATGCATGCCATTATCATATATTTGATGTGCATTACTTTATTCTATTATATTATTATTTATATTTATAACACACCTAAATAGATCTTTGTCATGTAATTGGTGGATTTTGTATGACGTGACATTGGTTTTCTATTAACCCCATTTCAAGACTCATCATTGAAATTTAGTTCCACCGTACATTTTGACTTCCATCTGTTTTTGTCCATTGCATGGTGCCTAGGAAACGAAGACTTTTTCCGGAAGGTTGAATCCATAAAATGGCTGACATGACTTCAACCTAATAAAATCCTTGTGATTGGGTAAAAATATGCCGAACTGGACTGTTCCATTTAGAAAAAGGGTAGATTTTTAAAATAAAATATCAAACGACAAGAATCTCCATGCAGAAAAAAGGTAGAGCTTTTTCATAAAATATTAAATGACAAGATCTATTTTAGGTGTGTTATGAAACAAATAACGAATGTTTTTAATTTGCGCAATGGAAAGAATATTTTCATCCCTTGAAATGTTGACTGTTCTATTCAACTCGGCTCCACCTTGTCGAATGGAACAGTCTGTCAATCTTTCAACGAATGAAAATATTCTTCCCATTGCGCTCACTAACTTTCATTATTTGTATAATATATATACACCATTGTCAGCGGCGTCGTATATATTGTCATCATCACCAACACGTCAACATTTGGCTTAGATAGCTTCATAATGCATACAAAATCCACTAACCTTGCTGGGTTTCTCCAGGAGAGTCAGTGGGAGTATTAGGCAGGCTGTCAGCTGGTAATATCACTGAGGGCTTGGTGGGCTTTTTGGGTTTGGCTAGATCATTGCTGAGAGCCGTCATGTCAGGGTGGTTCGATGCCAGAAAACTTTTACCCAAATCCCAACTAAAGTAAGGCGGAACCTCTCTGTTTTTTAAAGCATTAAGGCAGTTTTTCTCCTCTTCTAATTCAGTCCTAGAAAACAGTTTAATTTAGTTGTTGATTATAAGGTGTAGTACTCGCATCATCATTAATTAATCATTAATACTACTAATAAATACTAAGAATGATATATACAAATAACGAAAATTTGATGAGCAATTAGTTTCCCGTAGTGGATCAATAAAATGTCTTATCTTCATATCTTATCTTTAGTACACAATTGCACACGTAAACAGAACAGAAAACTATGTCACTAACTTCACAACACTATGTTACCCTCGAGTGCCTCCTCAGCTATGCTAAAGTTTGCATGGATTTTTCAACTGACGCACTTTATAGCTTAACTTTACATTATTGTATCTTTATTTTTGCGCTGTTAAAAATTGCAGCATAGTACTCTTAAGATAATAAACTACTGTGGTATAAATAACAACACACTTTATTACATGCAATTAGGTACAAAGGGTGATTATTTTATTCTATACTTACCGAATTTTCTGCCAATCTTCATTGGAATATCTAGCAGTTGATCTTGGCTGCGGGGGTGGGGATGGTGGTGCTGTCACCTTCTCATACACCCCAACAATGTCACTCTCAGATTTCAGGTCTCTTAGACCTGAGCCAAATCCTTGGTCAGCTGGTAATTGGATCATTGAGGTTGGTTTGGTTGCTGCTTCAACTTTGGGTTGAGAGGCGCTCTCTGATGTACAAGATTGAGGTAAAGCCTCGGATGTCATAGTGGGTGTCTGTAACTGGTTTTTGTCTTTGTTTTCTCCTTCGTCGTCAACCTACAAAGAACATCAAACACTCACTTGAAATTGTAGTTAGAGAAAAGCTCTTTCAAGCTTCAGTGTCCATAAAGTCTGGGTTTGATGACAGGGGCCACCCTCAAATAGCTGCATATCGGTGCATTACACTCGTTTAAACACACAAAACTAGCAGAATAAATTTCTCCCCTTTCTATACACTTTTTCATTAATTACAGTTACAGCATCTTAAGTCTTACTTATGTCATTACCTCTGCAAGAATTTGTGCCAATAGATCTCCAGCTTGGACTTTCTCTTTTGCATCCCTTGGATCATAAATTTCTTGTGCCTTCCATGCTTCTTGTTTCTCTTTGATGTGCTCTGCATATGCTCTCAGACCATCTTTCATCTGAGCACGAATATCAGCTGTAATACTTGCATACTGAATCAACTGACGAACCTCAAGCGCCTTTGGGCACTTCGGTGGTGGTATTGTTTTTGGTGGACGGTGAACAGACCCAATAGCAACACCTTTACCTACATTTGTACCAAACTTAGGTCCAGGTGTTTTACCTTCCCACGCTGGTAAAGTTTTGAAATCTCTGGAACGCAGGTTACGTGGGATGATGTTTGGTTCGTCGAGCTGCATCAGCCACGTTTTGCAAATGTTCTCGGTGTACGGACGCATAATAGTGATACCTGTCATGCCTGGATGATCAGGTAGAGGATCACCGAGGATAGCAGAAGTTGGATCGCATTCTGCGTTTGACAAATAGTCCATGACGTTACGATGCCGAAGCAGCTCCATCCCACTACCATCGCTCTTGATGATAAAGAATCGGGGTGGATGTTCGTTGAATTGTTCCATTTCTTCTATCAAGATTTTGTTCGACTTTTCTTGACCTTCTTTCTCATCAATGAATTCTTCTGCTTCTGCATTGCCACCGGCATCCTCTTTTGCAGGTCTCGGCCGCACAAACACATCCACCTCACCCGTATTCATTACTGTGAAGAAGTTACCATTACCATCCCTCAGTTCCAAAATCTTCTCATCACTGTGTCGCATCATGTACACGCTCGGTGTTGTCAGATTCTCCACAATATTCAGATTATCTGGCTTTGGTAAATACGCACACATTCCATCCGAATCTATGGTCATTCGTGAACCCTCGTGATGCAGGACTTCGTAAGATCCATCGGGCATGGTTATAACCTGTGTTCCGTTTGGGAATACAGTTGTGGCAATACTGTCCTCACAGTTCATTATTACAGTGGCAAATCCCACGCATTCAACTTTGACGTGCTGCACATCATGGATTACAGGATGTTGCACTTCACCTGAAAAAATAAAACAATTTAGATGTTGATATTAGAAAGCTTGACAAAGCATTGGCATTAATTCAATATTTCTTAATGATATGATAAAACTTTATTGTTATAACAGTATTCAATACAAGCCATGTGATACAGTGGGAGATGTGATTTTTTATCTGGTTTTTTTTTTTTTAATTTATAAACATTTGATATACCACCTGGGGACATACATGAATAAATATTCACAATTTGTGTTTAGGGTAAAAAAACATACACAATAAAATTCATGGCTGTAGATATTTTTTCCAACAACCTTCAGAAAATCCAAGGTAATGAATGGTGGAGCTGGCTTTAACTTCAGTCTTGCTGTCTTAAAGCCTACAGCATGTCGGAAGAATATCCAGTGAAAATTCCTTCTCGTTTTGGAAGGACTCGGATGAGTAATATATAGCAGGCAATTTTTATCTTTTTAAAGAAAACTAAATATATCCAAGTATATTTGGTAAACATACCCGTTTCTGCTTGGTCTGAGGACATCTCATCCCTAGCTTCTATCTTGGTGTAAAATGTTGTGATTCTTGTCCCTTCACTATGATCCACTATCCTGGTGCCATCTGGACGGTCAACGGTTACTACTCGGTCCTCCCTTGTTGTCATAACCTAACACATTAAAATTTTATTTCATTAACATTAACAGTAAATTAATTCAAAAAAGTTTATCACTTACAATGCACTTTTGTATGAAGCAAATCACAGCAATTATAATAGTTCATATTATTGTCAAATATACTTTGTATATATTGAAACATAAATAATACACTTATTGTATTTTCATGTGGATATCTTATTATATGAAGGTTGTGATATAGCACTTTAAGTCTAGTTAAGTGAGAATTTCAATTTTGTAATTAAAAAAAAAATGTTGTTTTTATTTTATATTTTACATTTATAAATGAGTTTTATCACCTCCTTTGTCATGGGGTCTGTTGCAGAATAAAGCATCAATGGTGGAACTTCAAACACACTGCCATCTCCCTTGGTTCCAAGTCGATCACCAGAGGGCGCTGTTGTTATCCATTCAGTTGGTTTCTGTGGCTCCTCTTGCAATTCTTCAGTTATTTGTGACATGCCTTTAGCTGCCGTTGCTTTCACACTGCCTGTATGTTGGCAATTAGAAATACATTAATTATACAAGATTTCA